AGGAATTTGAAGCTGCTTATCATGAACCCCAAACAGATCCTAGATTTGAAAATCATTTGACATGCTCGTTAGTAATTCTTAATAAATTCTTAGAAATTATTTGACAATTTTAAAAAATTTAACAGAAATTATCAGAATAATAATAAAAAAATAAATAAAAGAAAATATAGATGAGTATCTAATATCTCAAAATGCATAAAAAATGAATTTATATTGATTAATAATTAATTATTTTTTGAATTAATTACCTATTAACTATAATTTAACATTATTATTAAATAAATAAATTAATAATCATTCCAAATTTATTCAAATAATTTAAAGTTAAAAATATATTTTTATTCTTTAATTAACTATTAAATAATTATATTTAAAATTATCTGATTTTAATTAATTTAATATTGTATAAATTAATGATTAATTATTAATCACTTAAATTAATAAAATTAACTTAAATAAGATAAATTAGAATTACAAATTCATCCCCCTTCTACCACCCCTTCCCACCGTAACCCTCGACTGCTTCCTCCCGCTCCCAAAACCCTCGCTGATGTCCCTCAACCTCCCGGATTCGCTCAAAACAATCGCCTTCGTGAACGAACCTTTGCGACATCTAAAGGATCGCGGTTTACAGAGAGCACCGAAACTCAAAATTTTCCAATCATTCCGCTCCGAGGAGGCGTTTTTGTCGGTTTGGCAGGATTTCGCTTAAATCTTGCTTAAAACCGGCTACTAAACAGCCCCTCATATTTAAGAAAAAGAAAATCATTCCAATTGTCGGGCATTGCAAAGTTTCCGATTGTCGGGCATTGGGATTGTGGAAGTCCGGGCAAATTCCAATTGTCGGGCATTGGGATTGTGGAAGTCCGGGCAAGTTCATTTGCAAATTGCAATTTCACAGTCGATTCAATCCTTGCTTCTTGGCCTCTGCCGGTCACTGTTGCTGCGATGGCGCAGAAGAAGACCCGTCCATCCTCCGATGACCCAGAGGAGCTCACCCGTACCCCTCTCCAGGCTGTCCTGCTAGCCGACAGTTTTGCTCAGAAGTTCCGGCCCATAACCCTCGAGCGTCCCAAGGTTTAACCCTACGACCTGTTCTACGCCCCTCCCCAGAGATTCTTCATATTCTTTGCTTGCGAGCTTCTCTAATAATATTTTCTCCTGAAGGTGCTATTGCCGCTGGTGAACATTCCGATGATCGAGTACACCCTTGCCTGGCTCGAGTCAGTCGGGGTCGAGGAAGTGTTTGTTTTCTGCTGCGCCCACTCTCAGCAGGTGAAAAGCTACCTGGAAAATTCCCAGTGGACGAAGCAGCCTGGCGCTTTCTCCGTAAACACTATCGAATCTCACGACGCCATCAGTGCCGGAGATGCCCTACGTGTCATCTATAGTCACGGAGTTGTGAGTAGCTTATTTTTTCTGAATAATGGTGAATTTTATTTTGATCCGTTTTTTGGTGATTTTGGCTGTTAATCCTTGAAGATTCGTGCTTATTTGTAGAAATGAGTTCTTTGTTATGGAATCCACTTTCATAAATGTGCGAGATAAGTTCAGATTATGAGTATTTTTACATCGCATTTATTGATTTTTTGTTATGATAGTAATCGAAAAACCTAAAGTCAATGGACATTCTGCATAATTTACTTTAATTATAATAATGAAATTTACATACATACCACTCACTTGAATAAACCCACTTTCAAATACTTACATCTAAATAAATTTTCTTAAATGTTCATTTATAATGCCTTAAAATTGGAGGATTTATAGGAAGACTTGAACAAGGCTTTTAGAAGATAAGCATCATAACATAACCTAGTAAGTAGCAGCAACTTTCACAGAGCGGAGCAAATACCATGCTGCAATGCCAACCAGTTTCCCTTTAACATAAATTGTTTGTTAGTTATTTATTTATATTTAATAAAGGAGAGAGACTGAAAACATTTCAAAAGCTATTCTGTCATGGTTTATTTGCTAAGTTTTAAGTATTCATGATTTTCTTAGTTATATTTGAAGATGTCATCCTATTAAAAATTTTCTTTAAATTTCAATGTTGTTTGTGCCACTGATCTAATTTCATTCTTGTTAGTTCCTTGTAGTTAATTAAGTGCATTTTTCACTTTTTAGCCAAAATGCTTGGCGTACTTCCCATGGCATAAATACCATCCATTGCTTTTGGGGCCTTTTGGTTGCAAGGCCAAAATGCTTGGCGTACTTCCCATGGCATAAATGTTTACCATCCATTGCTTTTGGGGCCTTTTGGTTGCAAGGTTTTTGGAAATTCAATATATTTAAAATAAAATTAAAAGTGAAGTCATGCATTTCAATTACTTTGTGGTATTTGGTTGCTTGCAAGAGAAATTTAGAGTTCAATTTTTTGAGTTTGGTTGTTTGTAAAGTAAAATCAATATTTAAAATGTTGCGGCGGTGTGGACGGCAGGTGGCGGCTGATGATGAAAGATTGACGGTGTTGGTTAAGCTTTGCACTAGGGTATATTTGGAATATTCCAAAATTTTCCAAATTGGGGGAATTCCAAATGCTTTAAAAATAAATTAGGTAGAGGTACAAATACCTAAAAAAATTACTTTGTATTTCCTTTTCTTCCAACCAAACACCTAATATTTCAAATCCCTTGCATTTGGCCTACTCTAGACCACTAATACTTGCAACCAATAAACCTTTTATATTTTATATTTTCTAGTATCCTTGTTTTGAGAGGGAGAAGGAGAGGGGAGGGAGGGAGGGAGGGAGAATTATGACTATTGGACCGATAGGTTGTAGCTAATTCAACTATCTTTCTCATATAGGGGTGGTGCAAATGTCCGACTTCTTTCTTCTCTTGTGTTCCTGAATTTGATGCTAGTTTTCAATTTTGTTAATGCATCTTGTGCATTTACTTTATTTTATCAAGCTTCATGTGTGCTTCTATTCTCCTGTCTTCATTTATGTTTTTATTACGTGGATATCACCTAAAAATTGCTGTCCTAAAGTTTCTAAAATATTTTGATAGTCATTTTTAAGGGTTTGTTTAGGTTCAATTTTAGTTTCTGCTTTTGTTTTTTTTTACATTTGTTTTTAAAAACAAATTTGTTTAACTTGTTTTTTACGTGTTTTTATTTTTTATTTTTAAAAATAAATTAACATCTTTTTGAAAACACTCAAAACAACTTTAAGGTATTTTTAGTGTTTTTAAAATCAACCATATTTTAATCAAATAACCAAGTATATTTTATTTTAAATCAAAATATAGACCAAACAAAATAAAAACAACAAAAAAACAAAAGTGTTCCCAAAAGGTCCTATGTTGTTTTGTCAGCTTTTGTTAATAACTTACTCCACCCATGTATTTAGTTTATAACTTCAAATGCCATGCAAACAAATATTTGGTGCACATAAAGTGTTTAAGGCTCATGAATCACACTATTGTTTTATACATATTAAAGTTTATATTCAGCTGTTATTGTATTTCTATATGTTTTTATGACAATCTACAAACTCGTGTTGTGTTTATGTCCACCTTTAATATGTTCGCATGTAATTGTTAATTTAAATTTATTTATTCATCCGAGTTTCTTTTCTTATGGAAACTGATTGCACCATATTTTCTTTCTTTTGAAGATACGGGGAGATTTTGTTCTCGTAAGTGGCGATACAGTTAGCAACATGAGCTTAGCTAAAGCACTCAGTGAACACAAAGACAGGAGGAAGAAGGACCCTCTTGCTATAATGACCATGATCATCAAACATTCGAAGCCCTCAAAGTTGACACATCAAACCCGTCTTGGGAATGATGAAATTATTATGGCTGTTGACCCTGATACTAAAGAACTTCTTTATTATGAGGATAAGGCGGACCTCTCACAGCATCATATCACCCTTGATAAGATGTTGCTTTCTGAGAATTCTGCTCTTTCCTTACACAATGATAAGCAGGTTGGCTTTCTATTTTCCAGTGTGAAATGTGAAACTTCTCTAAAGTACTTTGATCGAAATGATCTTAACTTGTGACCTTTTTTCCCTTCTTTGGTTTTTTAGCACTCTTTTAATATTTTGACAGATACTTTCTGCATTTTAATTTTTAAACATTTAATGCTATTTATTTGAGGCCGTTTTCATTTATGCTTGGTGGTTTTTTTTTTATTTTTTTTTCTTAATTATCTTAACCTATTAAACTTCCTGATTAGTACTTGGTTTGTTGAAAAGGTTACTCTTCTTGTTTGGAGATGTCTTTACTGTTCTACGAATATCTTTTGACATTTGGTTTATGTTACCATGGGAAGTATCGGTATAGCTGCTTTAAGGCTAACGTCATATTGTGGTACCTGGTTACAGATATAAATTCTTAGGAATTAGGTGCTATGCATGTAAATGCCCCAAGGTTTTATGCATTCTATATTATTCAATGCAAATGTACAAACACTTGCAAATTCCAAGTGCTTATGTATTCTTTCCGTCATCTTTCTTTTTATTAAACATCTATAAAGGACCTGGCAGCCTTGAAATACCATTCGCTCATCTGCTTATGTAGAGAATAACAAAACCCTTTTAATCTCTAGAATGATCCAACTTGACCATATTCTGTTTTCTGTATTACAACTGTATTGCATAGGAATGTTTTCAAGAATTTCATATCATCTTTATCATTCACTGCCTATTGTAATTGCTAGGAAACAAAATTTATCTAGGTCTGTTGCAATTATAGGTTAATTTCCATTTTGTGGTGTTGGTGAATAGAGATATTTTCTTATTAGCTTCTACATTGCTAAATTACTAAACACTGAACAATTGGTGGATTGATATTTGAAATTACCAATCCCTCGTTGATTGCCTTTCAGGACTTCTATTTATTATTTCTCAAAGATAATGACAATTTTTCAATTGTAGTTTTCTTATATTGCTGTGCTCTTTGACTCTTGTTCACTTTATAGATGATTTCTCTTATTACAGAACAAAGTGACCGTTTGAACTATTTTGTCTGCTTGCTTCTATCGGTTATAATAACTTGATGATTTACATAATGTGAAATTTAGCATTATTCATTGCTTCCTGCCTAGACTTTGTAATATTTGCGCCAGGCTTGAGTTCAAATATCTTTTGACTAAATAGACAGAAAAAAGTATAAACTTTCCATATCATTTATATTTTTATTTTATCTTCATTCAATGATTTTAATAGATTGACGGTTAGCTGTGCAGGATTGCTACATCGATATCTGCTCTCCTGAAGTTCTTAGTCTCTTTACTGATAACTTTGACTACCAACATTTACGCCGTCATTTTGTAAAGGGCCTGCTTGTTGATGATGTAAGATGTTCTCAATATTGTTCTTATCTATCTGAACTACAGTTATTCTGCATGAATTCTCTTAAATGTGGAAAAATACCTCAATATCTGTATATTCGTTTAATTTTCCTTTCTGTAACAATTTTCTTGTTGTTTTCACTCATTTACGTAAAGTTCCATTTTATCTGTTCTTCATTTCATATAAGGTTTAAATTTTTTCTCCAATTCATTGTATTTTATGTCGTCTAGTTCTATAAGTTTATTCATCAGTGGACAAGCAGCCTTCTGCTCATATATGCATATAGTTTATTTCATGCTTAATTTCAATCATGTTTAGTTTGTAGTTTGTATCTTTGAATATGTAAATCAGGTAACATTTCACTGTATCGATAATATGCAAGGATATAAAGCAGGTGCTTAACTGTGTTTCATTAAATATGATGACTTGTATTATTGCTTATAGCTGATAGTAGGCCTTCATAAGGATGGCATATAAAGAATGTTTTTGTTTCAGTCTCACACCATACCATGCTTTTTTTTTTTGTGATGCATGGATGTTGATCATTGTGTAGCCAGAAAAGGCGAAGTGGTATTTATACTTTTACCAACCCTTCGAGTTTGTATTGATCAGGAATATCATAATCATGGAATTAATCTTTAGATTATTGTAGAAAATATGTATGATGAAAAAATACTTAAATTCATTATTCATATGTAGGGTACATATTGTCTAATCATTTTGGGACGTGAAATCCCATATAATTCGTGAAATCAATACAAGCCGGGACAGATTTTGAAGGAGTGAGAAGAAGTTGAGGGATTTTACAGAGTGTTTTTGGGGTGCAAGATTGAGAGAGAGTGAGAAAAAATAGCCTCCATTTTTTCCTTCCTTATTTCTATACTCAGAAGCTTATGTACTCGCGCAATGGTCTGGAAATAAACCTTAAACCAGGTTATAAAATTTGTAATACGAAGCCTGAGTAGACTTGTTGTTGATAAGATTGCTGGTGTGGATTATCATGCTGTTATTAAATGACGGTATGAATGCTGACAAATAGAATTTATCATTCTTATGCCTCAAATGATTGCTTGTTGAGCTCGGTGGTGGTTTAGCCAAGTAATTGTTAGCTGGTTTGATGAGAAGGTTCAACCAACTAGTACAAGTATGGAATGGGAGCTCGAATAATGTAGGTTAGTTTGACTGGAAGAACTCAGTTGAAGATCGAAATGAGATAGACCGTTTTAAGGAACTTGCTGGAATCACGACATACTTTCAAGGTACTCGCAGAATCCTTTTAGACATCAAGCTCTGCAATTTTTCACTTCTAAAGGTCCACTACTAAGTATGATTGATATTGTCAACGCCATACCACTAAATGCGTAGCTGGTGGGCTCGATCTATTAAGCTCATTAGGCCCATCTAATATTTGGGCTTTTCTGCTGATTAAAAACTCATTTTGAGTACACACACCTCTCTCTCTCTCTCTCTATATATATATATATATATATATAAAAGAAAACCAATCACTCCTAATTTGCGAACTTATCAAATATATTTAATCTAAATGTGGAAAGGAATTAATTCTGAAATAAAAATAACAAAAACATAAAAAGGAAGAAAATAAAACTACATAAAGAATTTTCTGAGTTATCTCCCAATACAATCTTTCATGATAGGTGGTGTCAGCCAATTTTTTTGAAAATAATATTTTAAAATTTAAATTTAGTATTTAATATATATAATGTAATTTTAATTTTGTGAAAATAATATCCTTTATTTTTGAAAAATGGTGAGACCAGGTAGACCTTATATGGTTCAAGTAACTGAGCATGATTACCATAACTGATATATCATCTGGAAGGATGATCGTATCATTTATTAGTAGGCTTAACTTTATGACTCTATTTTGGTCTGCGAATTTATATCCGACAAATTCCCCAATCTATTACACAGATTAGACAGAATTTAGATTAATTTGGGTTCTTAAATTCTCTATAGAAGCAAACCCCTATAGTTAATCACATCTTAGACAACCGAATTCACCTAAGAAAACTCTCGATTAAGATCAGGGTTTTGTTTTCAAGATTTCAAGAATTCAACGTTCAAGTTTCCACGATGTTCATAGGAAAAATCAAATGGGATAGGTTCAAATAGGAACAGTTATTTCCGGAATCCAACGGAACGAAAAATAAAAGATGTTGAAAATACTGAAGAATATTCAGTGACATCTCAAACTATCCTATGATTTGACTTTACATCTTTGAAAGAAAATTATGTGATATTTCAGTCCTGCAAGTTATTTAGATATTCAGGGCTTATATCAACATTTCATATGTAAATGACCCGAGAAAATGTGAGGATTTATGTTGTACTAAACGAAGACCTCGGAATCCTAAAAAGTTTAGGACTTATATCGTACGATATGAAATCGTAGAAAGTCCTGAAAGATAATGTGAGGATTTACGTCGTACCAGACGAACAATCTCAACGTCCTGTAGGTATATTATTTAAATCTATCGAAGCTCGGTTGAAGCTTCTTCTGCTGTCTCTCTTTGTCACTTCGACCGCCATTTGAAGATTAATTGTCATTTGCTCTAGATTTGTCGTCTCGATCGCTGCCTGTGGATGAATCACCAATTGAGAATGTCGTCGTCTTGTCCCGAAAAGAAGGGAGGAATAAAAGAGAAAACTATGCCTCGAAAGGCCTATCCTAGGAGATTGTATAAACATACTAGAAGAACTTGTATTATTAAAAAAAAATGAATATAGGTGAATGTCTATAGTACAATATTGTACAAGAAAGAAACAACTATGCAGTGATGTACTGTAACAGGAAAAAGATTGAAGGAAAATTTTGGAAATGAAGCAACATAAAGGAAGGAAAGCCAATGCAATAATAAAAAAAAAATATGCAGTAAATGAACAAAACTGAAACAACTAAGTATACCTGATTAAGTTTGGCGATGCTAAAAAAAAACATATTACAATTGCATAATATAAAAAAGGTTAGACAAATATTTTGCAAATGATAAAAGAAATGTTAAGTGTTGAGCATATGAAAATTTAAAGTGGAATATAGCTTTTAATTTGGGTTTAGGCTCAGACTAGACCTCTTTTTCTTTTTTTTATCTCGATCCCACAGGCAACTGATATATCGAAGTCAACCTACCAATATCAACTAGAGGCCACCAATGAATCACCCCTATAATCAGACAACCCTAGACCCTATAGTTTAAAAGGTGTGTAAACGGAGTAGTGTCTGAACTCCTCAAAGTGTAGTGCACCTATATGTGAATTGAGTAGCTAAACTCATCAAAGTGTAGTGCACCTATATGTGAAATGTAGTGTCGTGGATGGTGTAGTGTGTGGATATAGTGTCTGCAGTATAAAAAGGTGATATGGTGATACTTAGATCCATCAACTAAAGATATGTGGTGTATCTGTATGTGGTGTGCAAGATATACTATGTGATATATGAAATGTACATGTAGGTGATATCTAATGCATGCATGTATTAGTCAGGATATGGTATCTGCGGTGTAATGTCGTATCTGTTCTTTCGTGATTGCAGTATTTGTACGGTGTTTATAGTATCTGTTCTTTTGTAAGTGTAGTATCTGTGGGGTGTTTGTAGTATCTGTTATTTTGTGGCTACCGATTCTCGAACCTTTTAAAAAAGGTTAGAGCTGTTGACGATCTAGGGGTGAAAGGACATCACACTAATTGAATATTGATTTTATATTTTCAGCTATAAGAAGGGTTGATCAATGGTTCGTTTGCATCATTACCGTTTACCCCTCGTCTCGAACTAATAGGCCACCTCAATATTTCATATGCTCATCGAACAAAATTTTATATATCTCATATAAAAAAAAATGAGAAGAGTGATCATTTAAGCATTTATATAGCATCCACTTTCCACCTTAAGCTTAAATTGTAAACCTGTACATGTGATTATTGCATACCCCCTTAAATTTCCAAGGGGAAACAAAGATTTAGCATTTAAAATTAACTCTCAAAGTTAAAAGATGGTTTTCAACATATCCTCGAACAAAGGTGCAACATAAGGAATAAAATTCGGGTCCCAAATATATATTTCAAATCATGGAAATGATTTCTAATAGGTATTTGAACCAAGGGGCAGCAAAAAGTATCAAAACCGAGTCCCAAATATATTTTTCGAGCCGTAAATGTAAATTCCAGCAGGTATTTGAACAAGGGACAAAAAAGAAGGCGTAAACCGAGCCCAGCATAGGGACAAACCCGAGCCAACACAGAGGCTAAACCGAGCCCAGCACCAAAAGAGAGCAAAAAAAAAAGAGAACCATTCCATGTAAATCGAACTCATCAAATGAGTCAGAACAAAGCCATAAACAAATAGATTTCATAAAGCCTTAGACTTCAAAATTTCTTGCACCCAACATATGATTTAAGCAAGAATTGATAACAGGAAATAGATAAGTGTACGAATCTCTAAAGCCAAGTGTTTCTCAGCATTGAAATGAATTCCAGCACTTAATTCAAAAATAACAATAATACCTGAGCCCAATAAAAGGGCTGAAATTGAGCCATTACTCGAGACACTAAAGCAGCTATCCAAAACACCGAATAACTCCAATATATATTCAAATAAAAGCAATAATAGCAAATCTGAGATATTAGAATAATTTTCAAAATCAAAAATGATTTTCGATATGTATTTGAATAAAACAACAAGAGAAGCAAGAATAACCGCAACTCCAAACCGCTATTCCAAACCAGAATAATCTCCAAATATGCACTCGAATAGGGGTAACAAGAAGTACAAAAATCACAGCTCCAAAACAGATGTTCAAAACCAAAGCATATCTCCATTATATGTTCAAATAATGGGCACCAAGAAGTACAAAAACCGACCCCAAACAATTGTTCAAATGCCATTTATAATTTCCAAAACATAAATTCGAATGAAAGGACGACAAGAAGAACAAAACCGAGCATCAAACAACTGTTCAAAACCACTATAATTTCCAAAATATAA